AGACCCAGATTTTTTGCGCTAAAATCTGGCGCCCTTATTTTTCAGCAAACCCACTCCCAAATCAGTTTCGTATTTTTTCTCTCATTGTGATGATCAACAACAATACTTCGAGGACTACTTCTTACCCTACGTTTTTGTGAAGCTTTGTGATTTTTAGTGTTTAGTTGTTTAAAGGTAATGTTCTCTCTTCTTTCCGATTTCCTTCATCAATGATTATATATATGTATTGATTACAGTTTCTATTTTTTTTGTTTATATGAAATCCTATAAATTAATCTCAAGTACAGCCGAAAAGAGAGAATTTTGGGAACAGATTGTAAGTATTTTCTCTAATTTTTTTATATTGATTGATACATGCATGTTGTTTTTTGTGTATAATTTTTGGGCTGGATTGATTTTGCTTGTGCGTGTATATATATATATATGTGTGTGTGTGTGTGGATTAGGTTTTGATTTTGCTGATTGTACATTCTTTTGAAAATGCTATAAAATGTGATGCATTGGTGGCATTTTGTAATAAAATAGCATCTGGTGAGAACATTTCAATTTTTATAACATTTAATATAATTTTAATAGCTTTTCATACATGTGAAATAATCCGGAAATTCAAGATTTTAATTACAGTGTATAAATGCTATAAATAAAAATATAATGCTATCAATTATATTAAAACGAAAAGACCCAGATTTTTTGCGCTAAAATCTGGCGCCCTTATTTTTCAGCAAACCCACTCCCAAATCAGTTTCCTATTTTTCCTCTCATTGTGATGATCAACAACAATGCTTCTAATGCCTCTAGGACTACTTCTTACTCTACGATTCTGCGATTCTGTGAAGCTTTGTGTTGTTTAAAGGTAATGTTCTCTCTCCCTTGCGATTTCCTTCATCAATTATTATTATTATTATATAATATATGTACTGATTATAGTTTCTATTTTTTTTTGTTTATATGAAATCCTCTAAATTAATCTCAAGTACAGCAGAAAGAGAGGATTTTGGGAACAAATTGTAAGTATTATTTCTCTAATTTTTTTATATTGATTGATACATGCATGTTGTTTTTTGTGTATAATTTTTGGGCTGGATTGATTTTGCTTGTGCGTGTATATATATATATATATATATATGTGTGTGTGGATTAGGTTTTGATTTTGCTGATTGTATGGATTGGGTTTTGATTTTGTTGATTTTGTTGATCGCAACGATGCTTGTGGAGACCCCAAAGTGTAGTCACGCAATCCCCAAAACCATTCACCACCATTGTTAAGAATATATGTCTCTCTCTATTCTAAAACAGAGATGAGATACAAATCTATATGACCCAATAACCAAAACAAACTACACACAACCGAACAACTCTACATTAAGAGTCCATAATTGCAATTCAAAAGTTATTCAGCATACCCATACCAGACCCACCTCTTTTAATCTTATTTATTATCTAAGTTGGTTGCTCCCCACCATTAATCATGGTGTCTGCAGTTTTCATATATAATAAATAGCAAGTATAACTAAATAAATAAAATATTTGTTATATATTGTATGTAATTCAAATGGTAAGAGTCTAGTTTATCAAATTTATAGTCATAAGTTCAAGTCACACCCTTTTCTCTATTGCTTTTATTTTTATTTTTGGGAATAGAAAATTGGAAGTATAAAGAAAAAAAAAAGTTTCAAGACACCAAATAGATGCTCAGATATATAATACAAGTTGAAAAATGATTTGGCAAGTCATTTTCAGGAATGACTTTTTAATATATATATATATTTTAACCTTTTGGTGAGTGGGATGATTAGTAAAAGAAACTTAAGCTTTTGTCACTTCTGCACAATGATCAAATGATGAATTGTTTAAGAGTGTTGAGATCATCATGCCCCATAAAACTTTATGACATTTCTAAAGTGTGGATTATGGATACAGTTAATCTCTCTTTTATCACACACGGTATTGAGTGCAATGGTGACAACTCTAAATGAGATGGTGATAAGATGGATAGACAACAGGTGGAGTGGTCTTAACCCCTGCCCCCATTTGGAGCTCTTAATTTAGTTCTTAAAAAGATAAATCAATTATGCACAAATAACACGATTTATGTGATGCACTCAAAATTAGGGTTACGTTTACAATTGCCATGAGTTTATTATGATAAAAAAGGTTATAAGAGATTTCAAAGATAATTATCTCACTTTAATTATAGATACATAAAAAATTAAAACAATGTGTTATTAGGCCACAAATATAAAAAAAAATAAAATAAAAAATAAAAAAAATCCCTATTTCAAAGTTAGATTCGCGATGGAATGTTAGGGTTTTGCTTATCAAAATTCACATCATGCCATGGTATTGGCTTCACACTAATGAAATGAGAGATTAGTTTGAAGTTCAAGCTTGCGAATCAGGTGGCAGCATCCCATTTTTCCAATTCACACTGCATCTAGATATTAAGCACATCTCTCCATACTTTTCAAAAAAATATATATTTTTCATTTATTTAAATTGAAATTTGTTTTTTGTTTGTTTAAATCATTTGTCTCACTCTCACAGAATAAAAAAGAAAAGAAATAGAAAGAGTCATACTGGAATAAAATAGAATAGAATTAAATGATTATATTCAATTTATTATAGTGAACTACTTTGTCTTGGAGTCTCGTAAGGTTAATGAAAAAAGTGAACAATTCTCGTCTTCATCTTATTAACTTATTGTAGTGTTTGATTTCACCATAATAAAATAGAATCATCATTCATTAATTCATTTTTTTTTATAACGGTGAATAATAATTCTATTTATAGTACAATTTTATATTTTTTTTATTGAACAAAGCATGAAAATAGGCATATATTAGAACTAACGGTTCACACACGCGATACGTGTGCAATTTAAATAAGTAAAAATAAAATAAAATATTTATTATATATAGTGTGCTGATCAAGTAGTAAGAATCTTCTTCATTTGATATAAGTCTAAGGTTCAAATCCCCTCCTCTCTTCTATCTATTTTTTTTTTAAATAAAAAAGTGGACACGTGGTAGCATAAGAAACTAAGGCTTCAGGACACCATAAAAAATGTTCACTTTATATATAGTATAGATATATATGGATTGGGTTTTGATTTTGTTGATTGTGTGTATTTATAATTTGCTAATCTGTTTGGTTTAGTCTTTAGGCTGCTGATCTGTTTGGCTGCTGAAAAGTTATGTTTTGTTGATCTGTTTGGTTTAGTCTCAAGGCTTATGGCCCTGTCTGTTGGAGGATTTTTGTGGCCTTCTTAGTCTCAAGGTTTAATGTTGTTTGGTCTCTCTTAGATAATTGGTTGATTGCTGAATGTTGCTGATTTGTGTTCAAGGTCATATTAGCCTTTTGGCTCAAGGCCTCTATCAAGGACTTCCCCTTTTCAGTCACTGATGTAGTTTTCAACTTGTTTGGTTTAGTCTCAAGGCTTATGGCCATGTCTGTTGGAGGATTTTTGTGGCCTTATTAGTCTCAAGGTTTAATGTTGTTTGGTCTCCTGATTTGTGTTCATGCTGATGTTTAGTCTGTCTTAGTTGCTGCTAATGATTAGGGGCTGAGTGCTAAATGTTGCTGATTTGTGTTCAAGGTTAGATTAGCCTTTTGGCTCAAGGCCTCTGTGACACCCCTGTTCCGTAGTATGTTAATTGGTCCTTAACATGATGTGATTATGTATTTTGATATGATTTTGTGTTCCACTATGTGAAAATATGTGGTTTGAAATTTTATCTGTTCATCGTAGGAATATCTGTTTGAGTAGTCTGTTTTGGAAATTTAATTGAGGGCCTTATCGGCCACGGAACCCGAAATATCACTCAACCCACATATTAGTGAACTCCCATCTCTCATTCCAAATGCTGGAGTTTTCAGAATGGTGTGGGGAAGTCCCCAAGAGCTCAAGAACCAACTGTCACTAGGATGCATTTTAAGATTAGTAATAGACATCATATGAAATCTAACCATATCTACAATGCATTTGATAACAACCTCTACAGGAATTTGCTCTTTTCTAAATATTATATTATTTCTGACAATCCACAACTGGTACACAGTACAAGTAAAGGCAAGTCTAGTTATCAGACTGTTAGAAAATTCCATTATGGAGAAATGACTTGTAACAAACTATAAAGAGGGGGAGAAAGGGATTTGGTAGAAAAACAAATTACACTAATATGTAATAATAGTATATGGGATACAGTTTCAATCATTTGACAGCCACGAGAATTGATATCAATAAATGGTACGGTGCAACTAGAAAACAAATGAAGACAATATTGCTGTCTCTTATTTCTTTCACTCACAAGCTTCACTTTTTGTCTGAGCATAAAATATTTTCTGAATTTTCTTGTGTTTGTTGATTGTTAAATCTTTTATGTAGATTTTTGGAGGGACAAACTACTATCCAAAACCTAAAAATAGATAACCAATCCCACCCTCCCAGAAAAAAGTCATCAACCTTAATAAACCAACAGATCCTATGTGACCGCACAATAGACCCGTGTATATGTACACATATTAATGCATATCATAGACAAACCCATCTTATCTCATGTAATACATACCAGAGTCGTGTGTTCACTGTTCCTCTACTGTAACAAGTCCATAATCCCTCTCTCAAGAGAAAAAGAATAGGTTTGGGAACCATTTCTGGAACTTAACGCTCTTTTACATTCTTCTAGATATTATGTTCTTTAAATTCAAATCTAGAGGGCCCACTCTGAAGCAAACAAAACAACAGAAAAATGAACCAGAGAACTAAAGCAGTAGGGCCCATTACCCTTTTATCTATCTGTATCATCCCTTTGGGTGCTTTATTTCAAGGAGTTTTTGTTCTATTTTGTTGCAAGGGAATCACTAATCATTATTATTGTTTGATCTTTGTTAGGGAGCATGTTGCTATTACACTAAACATGATTGTCTATTTCATTATAATGTTGGATCAATTTCAATAAAATAGAACATTTTTGTTGACCCAAAAAAAAATAAATACTGAAGTTGATTAATTGCTTTAGGCTAAAAGTGAGAAATTCAAAAAAATTACAAGGAAACAACTCCCACATACATGCAGTCGCAAGGGATATGCATGGTTGACTGAGGACATGGTAACATCAAATTTCATTATAAATTTTATTTAGTTCTGTTTGTATTTTTTCTGTAGTATGAATTCTTTTTTTTTTCCCCTTAGAAAAACAAGGGTGTAACCTCCTCATCTCTATCTAGAGTTCCTGTCTGGATTCAGGCACATACCAAAAAGAGTGGTGAACCCATAAACACAACTGCTGCTGAAACTATTGTAAGAACATTTCTCTATTCAATATTTTTTATTTTATTTTATATATATATCTTGACACTCATATTGATCATCCTTATCTACTAAGACATAATAATAATAAGATTTTTTCAGGATAAATTGAAACAAGTTGAACTTGATGATCCAGTATCATCATCTGTTCTTAAGGAAAAAGAAGATGCTCTTTCAAAAATACTTGGTCGTGAGAATCAGGGGCGAATAAGAGGGCTTGGTAAAGGAGTTACTCTTACTAAATTATGTGTACTCTCGCAAAGGGATAGTTATAAAACTCAGGAAAAAGAAGAAGCTAGTCAATTGAAAGAAAGAGTGGCACATTTGGAGAGCTTAGTTACTCATCTAATGAAAAATGAGGCAAGTAGTTTTATGCATTTATTAAATTTACTTATATAGGTTTCTAACTTTTAACATAATTACATTATTGTCTTTCATTTTTTTGTGTCAGAATCAAGCAAGCGAGGAAGGACCAACAATAACTAAAGTTTCTCCATCGGTAAAAAATATTATTTACATTCCATTTTACATGAAAGTAGAGTGCACACATGCACGCACACATACATTTCCTTTCTATTAGTATATTTATATTTAGAGATCAACTTTAGATTACCACTTAAGTATCCATCTAACACTACTAGTAATGGGTTAAAGAAAAACGCAAATGCAATGACATATACAGGGAATAATTGTAACTTTGAAAGTAGAACAGATGCTTTTGAGACAAAGCTAAGTAAAATATATGTGCTACAACAATGCTTTCCTGATTGATTTGTTAGGTAAAAAAATTGAAGAATTCAAGAGGGAAAAACATAAGAAAGTTTCAATAGTAATCACTAAATTGGAGTGTTTACATGTTAACATAGTGTATATATATAGAGAGAAAGGGGGGAGCTAACAACCCTATATGAGTGACAATTTCTCTTGTTTGTCATTGCCTTGTTACTAAAGAGTCAGAACACTAACACCCCCAACAAGAAATGCAAGTTGCTGGATTGGATAGGGTCAGGGGAAGTAGTTGCTGAAGGCCGTTGGTCTTCAAGTGATCCGAAACAGCTTGTCCATCACATTCCTATTGGACCTAATGCCATGAGAGTATGGGTAGATCTTGCAAGAGAAGCTGGAGCATATTTATGGAGGCCTACTGCTGATATGACTTACATCGAAGATGCTGTGGGTACTACAGTTGCATGGCCAGCTGACAAAGTTGTTATGGGGCAGTGATCACTTCTACAGGTTAGTAATTTTTCAAAGATTAAAAAATTACTCTTCATGAACAATGTACATCTTATTATTTTCATTTCTATTTTTTCCACCTTGAGAAATGTATTTGTAAGGAATCTAGAAATGTTTTTTTTTTAATGAATAGACGGGTCAGCTACCGACACAATTCTCAATTCTACACATCAGATTCAAAACAACCAAACATTGATTATGAATGATGTTCTGTAAAATGAAATAGAGAAAACCAAGTTATAAATTCGAGCTAACTCTTAATAACAAGACCCAAGAAGAAAACATGTGGCAACCCATCCCATGGAATGAATTCAGTAAGAACAAATCTCACAATTACATGCAGTGCACAAACTAAAAGGTTTCTTCTCATTCTTCTACAGCACTAGCAGCACTAAGATCCATGCTGAGGTCAAGAACCTACAGAGGAAAAAAAAAAGCATGTAAATTAAATAAATAAATTATTAATTAATATTAAAACCCTTAAAAAATTCATTATGGATGATAGAGAGGGTGATGCCTTGGTTCATAGAGAGACAAGCATTTAGGTAGTAGGAATGAAGAAACAAGATAGACAGTTATTTGGAAATATGGTGACTGCCACTCTAAGAGATGCATCAACAAAAGAAATGATAACAAGTAATTGAACTTGGATACTAAATCTACAACACAGAATTACTAAATAATAGAGAGCTGTTATTTCCACAGCCCCCTTTTATCCTTTTCCAGACCATTTGAGAGGGCACCCAATGTGTGAGGAGAGATGTGGAAATGGGCGGTCAAACTAACTCTGTATTTATACAATATCTAGAACATAGGATAGAATCATCCAAGATTTCCTTGAAGCTGTTGCATGCAACCCAGAGAGTCATGGATTTATTTAAGAAGGTAATCCAACAACATAAAAAGCAAAAATAATTCTTTGCACATACAATGATCCCAAAATTATACCCATGATACAGTTGTGATGCAAGATGACACCCTCATACTTCAATCACTTTGCTATTTTTTGCACAACTTTCCATCTATATACATGCTTCCAAACACCCACTATTCAACCACCTCTCCCCCTCCCTCCCTCTTTGAAATTTGTTGATTTCATGAGTTTCAGTTATATATTGATTTCATGAGTTTCAGTTATATAGACACGGACGACATGTGACACCACACAAATAGGTCGACACAAACATTTAAAAAAAATATAGGATGCAACACATGGGAGATACATGTAAACTATGTAATTTTATTTTTATTTTTCCTTTTTAATGATATAGACTCCATTTTAAAACTGATTATACTTACTGTGACATGTTGATTATTGTTTTGTAGTTATTATCTTTGGAAAGAAGATGGGACCAATAGAAGTCAGCTTGGAAGTTTGTGGGTGCATAAAAAGGAATTTGAATGTGTCATTATGTCTTTACATACCGACATTATGGCTTTAAGTTTTTGTTTTTATTTTTCTGAACCTAGTGAGAGATTGTGTTTTGGTACTTTATTAAGACCATGTTATGACAATTTTAATATTTCTTGAAATTTATGGTGATGAGTTATTTTTCAATGACGATACTGTTTTGTATGTGATGGATGAAAATATGTTTGTTGCCTTTACAGGATTTAGGTTTTCAATATTGGTGTTGGAATGGATTTTTATTATATTTATAAATACTAGATGATAGCATTTAAAATTGCTATCATAATGAGGAATTTATAGCATTAAAAAAATGTTATCAAAAAGTTTGTTGGCATGCTTTATTATAACATTCTTAGTTAGTTATGATATAGTAAATTGTAACATTACTAGATTGCTATAAAAGCAATTTCATAGCATTAACAAACTGTTATCCTTTGGTATTTTTAGTAACTTTCAAATTTTTCATAGCATTAAAAAATTGTTATAATATATTTACGATAGCATTCAACGACAACATTCGATAAATGTTATAAAAAATGATACACTTTTAATAACATGGGCAAACATAGGATTCCAACGAATGCTATTGTTTACTTTCAATAGCATTCATCGAATGCTATTAAATGTGTTTTTTGTTGTAGTGCAGCGTGCACTATCTTTGTAGGCATGGAGGATGTGTACCATGCTACAAGCAGATTCTCCTCCAAACTACGTCGATGGTCAATGGGCACGTAGGGGTAGACCACTGAACTTCGAGCGTAGGAAGGAAACTCTAAAGGGTCAGTGAACTCAACAAAATGATGGTTGATTCGTTCCCTCAAATCACAAGTCTCAGGTGTTGACCAGCTTGTCCAGTCAGAAACCCCAGAAGAGGAAGAAGTTACAGCTTTATCCCATGTAGAGGTTTGTGAAGAAGAGTTTCCCAAGTCCATATTTGGAACTTTCCGAATCAAAGGTTTGAGAGCAGTTTGTTCGAAGTACAAGGGTGAGTCAAAGGAAGAACTTCTTGTATCTATATCTGCAACTTTCTGAATCGAAGGATTAAGGGCAATGTGTTCGTAATCCAAAGGTTGGTAATTTGCAAAGGCTTCCATGACCTGAATATAGAAAGGTGTGTAAAGATGGCTAATTAATGCGTGGAAGTTCTTTCGAGGAAGGGCAGCATCATCATATGACTCTTCGTGTGCTCGATCAATGGAGGGGAAAATTGATTCGGCCATAGAAAATGTATCAGTCTGTTCGAATACTAAGGTGGTGGGGGTGTTCAAAAGATTGAAGGAGAGTTTTAATGCAGATGATGAATGACAGTTGCATTCCTAGGGGAATGTAAACCCTATGCACGTTCTAAAAAATGTTGGAGAAAGGCGTTGATCCGCTAATATCACCAAATATTGGGTACATTAGTGCGGGTGGTAATGTTGGTTACATATTTTGTAAAAGCCAATTACAATTCAACACGTGGCAAAATAAGGGTTATAGTGGAAGAATGTTTAAGTCTTAGATCATGATCGTACACGTGGCAGTTGATATTGTTTATTGCGTGGTCCGAGCAGCATTGGGTCAGCAAAGAGATACAAGGTGACGTGGCTTCAACAGTTACTCACATTCAAATTCAAATATAGGAGGGAAGCCTAACTGCAAGTGATGGCGTAGTGGAACTACTTATAAGGCAGCATGATCAGCGATCACAGAGGAGCAGTTCGACGGTTTGAAGTGCAGTTCGATGGTCATCTTTGAGGAGTATAAATAGCAGGGAAGACCCTAGAAAAATCCCCCAGACTCAAATCCAACAAACCAGTCTTACTTTACATATTTTTCTTTCCAGTTTCACATTTCCAGTCTTTACATTTTCTGTTCTTACATTCCTGTACTTTAAATTCCTACACTGCACTTCATTCATAGGAATAGTTTCAAGTAGATTGTCGCTGTAAACCTCTACGAGGCTGATTTTGGATCATTGTAAGTTTTTCATACTAATGAAATACTTCAATTGTTCTTTATTTAACTGTTCTTGTGCTTAAATTCTCCAAAATCAAGCTACCAGTAAAAGTCATCTTCATTGAGGCTGAAAGAACTACAACACAATTGTCTAATAATTGGTTGGCAATTAAAATTCTGTAAGGACTGATTGATCCTTATTGGCACGCTCGCAATTACAAAAATAACCTTCAAAAGCCAAAAGGTCAACACTATCTAATATGAATTTTTATATCACCAAATTACTAAGAGTTTAAAAAATATTTGTAAAGATAAAATTATTCATAAAATACCTTAAATATGAGAATTAAGATTTGATAGATCAAATATTTAAATAATAGGATTTATTAAAATACAATAATATATCATGGACTAATTAAAATAAGAAAGAAGATTTCCTAATAAATTTTCTTTTCTTTTATAATATCCCCAAAAATACTTAATAAAAATACTTAATCCATTAACTTATATGAGTCCCAAATAAGTTGGCACAATTTGGGAAGGTGAACGGATATGCAATTTAGGATTGTTTTAAGGGGTTGGTTAAAAGTTAATTTTTTTGAATTTTTTTTTTTAAATGTATTAAAAAATAAAGAGGTGATGTGACCTAAAATATGTTAAAAGTCAATTTTTGACTTTTAACCAAGTTTTCAAATTTGGCTTTAAATATTGGATAAATTATATTTAACTATAATATCACTTAGAATTTGTTTGGCACGTGTTAAAATAGTACATGTTATTTTAATACATTATCTTATTTGAATTGCAATTATCTTATTTGAATCACATTACTTCTATACATATCACTTCAATCTCAATTCGCATTTTGTATTTTTTCATAAAAAAGTTAAAAAGTATATTAATTTAACTTTCCAAACAACCCCTTAATATTACGTTACACCACTTAATTAAAAAATGCTAAATAAAAATATTATTTGTAAATCCTGATAAAAGTAAAATAAAGAGTCTTCTTAAATTTTAATAATATACTAATAAACCGTTTTAAAACTCTTTTGTACTCCTATCAAATTGTAACAATGACAAATATTACTTAACACATTTTTCGCGTGTTCAAGGGTCTGGCTTTATACCAATAGAAAAGGGAATAAGAAAGTTGAAGAGAAATGAGTGCAACTACATTATAAAATAATAATAAATAAATAAAACAAATAAATGATTTTATTTAGGATAATTTACAGTGACCCACCTAAAAATTTAATAAAATTGTTAAAACTTATCTTGAAATTTTAAAATAACAAAAACCTTCAGTGTTATCAACCTAAAATGGTTAACATAATATATATATATATATATATATATTTAATTTTAACCTTGATTTTTCCTTTTCTTATTCTAAAAATAGTAATATTACAAATTTAAACTTAATTATCTAGAAATTACTTAGAATCATCATATTATTGTTTAAATTTATTCTATACGTGGATTCTACATCACACAAATTTAATCTCAATCACACAATCTCTTTCGGAAATAAATTCGAGATAGTTAAGGTGGGATTCATAACATTTTTCTTCTAAAAATATTAACTCCACATCTCATCTTCCTCACCTGGAACTTTTTCTTTTTGAGGAAATCGCCTAGAACTTTGAGAAACAACTCCCCTTCACTTTGTTCTAAATTCTTTTTTGGCAAATTACTCGCAAGCCTTCTTTGAAAGAGTTATACTCTATTTAATCCCAAAACCTTTTGAGTAGATCCAAAGGTCTTGCACCTTCTTCTTCTCTTTATGATATTTGATGATTGATGACCATGCCTTTCTTATTCTTTTTCTCTTTTTGATATACTATGACGACCTCACCATGTATAATAATTAGCATTTAATTAATTAAGGAGATTTGAATCTTAATTGTCCATTATTCCAATTTAATCTGGGATTTATGAAAATTATGGAGACTAATTCGTATATGATTCTATTGAGGATCTATTTTGGAATTAGAATTTGAAAGCCTAAATGGCTTAAGATAGTACAAATGGTGAATTGAATTATTTTAATTTTGAGTATCGGACCATATGGGAGTTTAATTAAATATTTGATTCAGATTTATAAAATTGAGATTCGATTAATTTGGGTCCGAATTGGAGTTAATTAAGTTATACGACTTAAGAATTAACATTATTATGCATTAAATTCATTTATGAGGTGTCTAATTTGAATATGTAATTTATTGACGAAGATTTTGAAGTTTAATCTGAAATTGAAAGCCTTAATAATTTAAGAAACCAAAATTGAGGTTGGAAATAAGTTTAATTTAATATTTGGAGCCTTTTGGGAGTTTGATTAAAAATCTAATTTAGATTGTCAATTACCAAACGCGTTTGTAGTTTATGTTTTTCTAAAAATAAATAAAAACCAATTTATAAAATTTTTGTAAATATAAACTGAAAACGTAAACGTTACCAAACAGACCCTTAGAATCATCATCTTATGGTTTAAATTTATTCTATACGTGGATTCTACATCACACAAATTTAATCTCAATCACACAATCTCTTTCGGAGATAAATTCGAGATAGTTAAGGTGGGATTCATAACATTTTTCTTCTAAAAATATTAACTCCACATCTCATCTTCCTCGCCTGGAACTTTTTCTTTTTGAGGAAATCGCCTAGAACTTTGAGAAACAACACCTCTTCACTTTGTTCTAAATTCTTTTTTGGCAAATTACTCGCAAGCCTTCTTTGAAAGAGTTATACTCTATTTAATCCCAAAACCTTTTGAGTAGACCCAAAGGTCTTGCACCTTCTTCTTCTCTTTATGATATTTGATGATTGATGACCATGCCTTTCTTATTCTTTTTCTCTTTTTGATATACTATGACGACCTCACCATGTATAATAATTAGCATTTAATTAATTAAGGAGATTTGAATCTTAATTGTCCATTATTCCAATTTAATCTGGGATTTATGAAAATTATGGAGACTAATTCATATATGATTCTACTTTGAATTAGAAATTGAAAGTCTAACTGGCTCAAGAGATTATAATCGGTGAATTGAATTATTTTAATTTCGAGTATCGGATCATATAAGAGTTTAATTAAATATTTGATTCAGTTTAGTAAAATTGAGATTTTATTAAGTGGGTCCGAATTGGAGTTGATTAAGTTGTGAGAATTGTGAATTAAGATTATTATAAATTAAATTTAT